CTCAACAAGGTGTTTGCTAACTCCAAACAGCTAAAACTCACACACGAACAAGAAGAATACAACCAAATGAGCATATGTTGGATCTGCAAAAAAAAGATATATGACAACAAATAGGACTACCGGTGTGCAAAGCCTGAGCTACCCAAAGACCCTGACGACAACGACGGACGATGTCACAAGTGTACCAAGAAATTTAACACACATAAAGCGATCACTGTCAGGTGACGGATAAGTTTAGAGGGGTGGCACATGATAGATGTAATGTCAAACTCCAACTGGTACCCAACAAAATCCAAGTTTATTTCAAAGAACAGAACAAAACAAACCCGACTTTCCTCGTTAGTATCTTCAGGTGATTCCAAATGATATCCCGGCAAGGAGTACACCATCAAAGAAGTAGAAACTCTACCACTTGCAGAACAAAAAAAAGGGTATCAATGTTGCGTGGCTAAATTTGGTAAAGAAGTCGTATCTACGTTGGGTGAAAGCCTGTTGAGTCCCTACTCTCGTTTACTGAGGGTAGCACTCCTAATCTAGTTTATGGGACACGACGTCACGTTAAACTCAGAAGAAGCGTTAACCAAAGATCTAGGCCGTGATCCCATTATCAGTCAGAGCATGGGTTCGTATCTCACGGAGGTTTGTTACAAGTACGGATGTTTCCTTTCTCAGCTAGCAGGTCTTTTTGAGTTAAATGCTTTCTAAAAACCAAAACCAAAAGCGAGGGCAGTGAGTAAGGCAGCTAGCCCACCCAAAGTATCTAAACAAAAAGCTGCACCAGGAATTTTAGAAATGGAGTAATTTGAGTAAACCAATTAAAAAAATTCTCTCGTTAGTATTAAAACAACACACATAGCTACAACAACAAACACAAACGATATTGTCAACTCGCTTTACAATGGTGCTGTCATGAGTGTGATTTTGACGGGACATACAATGCTACTAAAGTGGAAGTCACCCGATCTCGACAGACTGAGCATGGAAAACATTGCAAAACTGACCGCACTTGTTGTCGGTTCTACGGCAACCCAAGAGTGGTTGGTAGCAAAGGGTGTAATTCCAGATAGCATAACGCCAAAAACTATTGGCTAAAAAAAGAAAGCTTTAATTTAAAACAAAAGCATGACAGAAAGTGGAATAAATCCCATCGACATGGATCGCTTTGAAAAATCAATACTGAAGACACGAAAGAGCAGCAAGATCAAACAGAACAAGAAGACCTATCAAGGAATGATACCCTTGATCCCCCACAACAAGAAACTACATTTACAGAAGGTGAAAGACCGTTAGACGATGTGTTAGACAACGGAAGAATGGCATTTATGAATAATCCTGACGTAGATGAATTCTATAATTTTTAAAACTTGCTGGTAGAACTGACGTACCTAGTCCCAACTATGAACATTTTGAATATCTAAACTATATTTAAACTCTCTTGGTATAATTTCATAGCTGACAAAATTATTTGTAAACCTGATTGTACTTGTATTAACTTGGTTAAATTGATCAAGATTGATGAAGTCTTTGATTGCAGTAATTTAGTCTCTTTTAGTCACTCTACCTTTTTTCCAGTGGGTTATATTTATATTTATCAATTTTGTGTTTGCAAATCCGCCACTTTAAATGCGTTTCTGTCACAGTTTGCAATAAATCGTATGTTCTCCTGTCTTAACTTAAGTTTTTGTTTGTCCTCCTATTTGTACAGGAGGTTGTTGTGAATTTCAAGTGCATCTCTGCATATGGCAGTGATACATGTGGCAACCCAAATTTTGTTAGGTTTTTCCACTATGTTTGTTACAATTTCATAGCTATCCCACAACTTTTTCCAGTTGGCTTTTAGATCACCAGTCACCTGCAATGGAGGTGGAAGTGATATGTGTGTTTGAGTTAACTCCGTAGTAGTCATGATAGCAAGTACAGTTATGCTACGATTACAATAATATACTAAATGGAGGACTAGTAGCCAATCTAACAATTACATGTTACGACAATGATCAGTGACGATGCAATCATGGCCGTGAAAGGCGAGCAGTATCATTTCTAAAATTGTTTATAGCGCTAACCTCAGATCTAACTTATAAAGAAATGGTATGTCTCTTCGGTTTACAAAGTACCGTCCATTATGCAACCTTTCCGTGGCACTTTGGTCAGTCTTTCACTACAGTTCACTTGAAGTGGTGGAAATGCATGCGTCACGTTGCAGGTATATGATGGCTTTGTGGAGAATCAATTTCGATTGAGGTAGCCAATGTTTTGGACTGAGATCTTCATCCAGAGTCCAAAATCATGAATCTCACGCATGAATGTTACCATTCTGACACCATGTAATAACTCGCAGGACTTTGTAGGTTGATACCTGATTCAGGCGATTTAAGTGGATCTGGGTTGCATTTATTCAGTGGCAATTGAGCAAGGTTTTGCAATCTTCTTTTTTTGGACTGGTTGATAGAGTGTGCCAAACCAACTTTAGTTAAACCATTGATGAAATACGACAGTAAAGATCGAAATTTCATTTTACTTCCAAAAATGAGAAGTAGTGTCTAGTGGTGCAAACACTTCATGAGTAAGAAAGCTAGAATATGGCAAAGGCCCATTAATATACTTTCAGTGTACTGTTCTGGATGTGTCACAAACTTGGGTGTGCTTTAGGTTAACAAGCAGAAGTTCTTAATGACCCTGAGAAACGGAAATAGACCACCCCAGATTAAAAATGCAGTGTTGATGGTCTCCTAGTGTTCAGGTTGTTTAAAGTTTGTAACTAACCCTTGTGGTGAGCAACCTTTTTACCTTTTACAGTTTTAACTGAAATGTTGTTTCGATGCCACCATTTTTTAATGAAGGTGCTTATGGCTAATATTAAAATCAACCATCTTTACCCTCTCAAAGTTACAAACCCCAACCACTAGGCTAAAGAAAACTTATTCATTTCCCTTTTCAGTTTTCAGGTGCCCCATCCAGTTTCCAGATGTCAGAAACCAAGCAATCAGATCTCCTACGTACAACTAACATTCAGTTTCAGTTTCCATGGGGTATGGAGACAATTGAGAGAATATCTAACAGAGGGAGCAGTGAGCTTGAAATACCCCAACGGGAAAAGGGGCAGGACATGCATGTGAGTGACTGTGTTGGCAGTTGAGCAATTGATTCCTTGCTGTGAAAAACTTCATGGCACTAAGAGGCAATTGGCATGAGTCAGGCTGACTCATGCGTTTGCCATCTCATGTATCTGAAAATGATTGTTATACCACTTTCACAGATAGTGAATTTTTATTGGTTGCATATTGATCATGTGCAATGCTACAAGCGCGCATGTATCACTTGCGCGTTCATTGGCAATGTTGCTGGGCTACAAAAAATGATAAATAACGATGGTCTGTCCCAAAGTTGATGTATCGTGTCCACTGCATCGTAATAGTGTAATCTTGGGTGCGAGGATGGATAGCCGCGGTGGTACTACTTGTTAATTTTTGTAGGAGATGTGCTGTGTGGGGGACATTGAAGCACTGTATGCATTTGTTTCTGCTACTGCCATAATGGATACCCACAGGTTATCAGACTTTTGTTCATGCACCTACATGTACATTAGCTAAAGCTTGTGGAACACAAGTTTGCTCTGATCACTGTTTCTGCTCCAATCACCATTGTTTGTGTAAAATGCAATTTTTCATAAATTTTAGATTTCTCCCTCCCCAAAGAAAAACAAAAAAAAATTTCCTTGGAATTTGCTGTTCAAGTGTTTCAATATGTCAAATGTTTAAATGTATCTTGCTATAAACATGCATACTATTACACATGTAAGACTATATGTAAGACTATTCCAGTTTAATCTATGACCATGGTAAAACAAAACAATTGTTGCCTGCTGTAATGGGGTCAGTGGGTTTTGGCAAATGGCACCCTCAGCTTCACCTCGGATGCCATTTGCCCTTTCAGACCCCCACACTACAGGCAACGTTTGTTAATTGTATTGGGAGCACACACAGCCCCAGTATCATAAAAGTTTACTATGACAAGTCTGAAAGTGGCCAGTGCCATGATCACATGAGACAAATTCAGGCATACACAAACAATCACCGTTTGTAACTTGTGCATGCTCTTGGCCAGTTAAAAATTTAGAGAAGGCAGAATTTGTAATGCTTCATACATATGTAGTGTCCAATACAATTTCAGGGTCTTTGAGTGTGTTGCCTGCCTGTTGTCATTTCTAAATGTTTATTAAGTGTCAAATTCAAGGTCTGAAGTTTATGATTTGGTATTTTCATTTTTCTGACTGAAGGAAGCAAATGAAAGCTTGCAATTGTGACTCATGATACTGGTGCACATACTCAAGAATCATTGCTTTTTTTCATGTGTACCCAGCTCTTTGTTTGTGTTCATTCAATTTTTTACATTACAAGTTCATGAATTAGCGTTGCACACTCCATTATGGACAAATATAGGGCCATAACACTGATGCAGGGACCTGACCTTTAGTACGAGTGTGCATTTTGGTAAGTCCCAACACCAAAGAGAAATGTTGTGTGGATGCCTCATGCATATAAACAGGATGGCCCCCGCAGTTAAGACTTCTAATTTTGGTCACTGGATTAGTGTATATCAGCAAGGAATAAATGATCCCTTACAAGGATTTCATTTTTTAAATTTCAATCCCAGGGTCGAGATGGAAGAAAGAGTGTTTTGCCACAAGTGATTGAGATGGTGTGTGGGCTGGAGAGGGGAATCCTGGCCCTCCTTCTGGATTCTTATCAGGAGAAGGAGAAAATATACACCAAGGCCCAAATCAATCAGAGACAGGTTACATAGAGTAGTCTTGATTCCAGCCATTTTCATTTTGAAAATCTTACTGCTTTAGTGGGAGATGGAAGAGCTGTTTTATCAGATGGTAAATGTATTGTTGTGCATAATTAAATGTTAACACTCAAATTCATGTAGAGGCTTGGGAGAATTTCGATGTTTTCTGAAAGTCTCAGTACATACAGTAGAATGTGTTTGAATCTGCACTTAAATGAATTTTAGCTGGATTTGGGATGGTTCCTATACCAGGTCTTTTTTTTTCATTTGTTTTGAAAACAAAAAACATGCATTCTATCAATTTAGAGTTTGGTGACTTGCAGAAGTTGGATCCCAGTTGATTTGATTCTCTTATCGGCCATTTACAGGTTTTGAGGTTGCATGTCAGACTAGCTCCAATCAAAGTGGCTGTCCTCCCTATCAAGGGCACAAAGGAGATAGTAGAGGTATAAAGCTTGCTTCAGCTGCCAAATTTTAGGCATTCACAATGTGGACCTGGACTCACATGAGGGAAACGCTCTAGAGGGAGGGGCCTGATTTCCACTGCCTTTTTGCTGTTTACATTGCAACACCTTCCCCAGCTTCTTATTTGTAAATCCTTTGGCCAACAATTGCCTGAGGTCCTTGAATACACTCATACATGTACTACTTTTGTGCACTGAAGCGTGAAGTGTCATAGAGGATGGTACAATTTACACATTACATACAACACTTCTACTTTAAAGTGCTTTTTGGAGTTAGAGCCTCCCAACTTGGAAACTCTTTAGTCGGATGAGTATCCCATATACATGTACATGTATTCCTTGTTATAGTATTAGGTCCTCATGCTTTTTTTATCTCGATTGACAGGTTTGTGACTACTTGGCCAAGGAGCTAAGGAAACAGAATATTTCTTGCCACCGTGTCAATGAACTGAGCCCTGCAATTGGGCATAATGTCTCCAGGTTTGTAAAGTAGTCTTTCACGCTATGACATTGAACATTGTCAGAAGTGGCAGTCATCTTTTTTTCTTTTCTGCAGGTCATGCATTGTGTCAAATCATGTATGATTGAACATGTACAGTCATACCTCATTGAAAAGAGGTCCTTTGGATTAATTTTGGATTTGCCCTGCCTGACGTGTAATTAACACTATATACTCAGTGTGCCCCCAAAAGCTTGTAAAAAAACCCACAAGCGTACTCGGGTGGGATTTGAACCCACGACCTCCTGCTACAGACTTATTTAACCACTCGACCACTGTGCTTGCCAGTGTCAGCTGGCTGGTTCACAAGCTTTCGGGTGCACACTGAGTACACAGTGTTAAATACACGTCGGGCAGGGGCAAATCCAATACATGTCGGGCAGGGGCAAATCCGAAATAATTTACATCTCCCCGGCGCTAATCCATCTTTGAAATAAAGGTTCTTTGGACTTCACAAATTCGCTTGTTATAACAGGAACCTTGTATTATCAGGAATGAAAACAATGAAAAACAAAGGATTGGGACCTAAAAATGTCCTTGTTATACGAGCAGAGTCTTGTATTAACAGTGCTCTTATTAGCAAGGTTTGACTGTATATATATCACAGGTTAGTTTCAATGAATTCATTTCTCTAATATGATCAAAACACATCAATAACTGAAATACATGTATGGTGTAAAATTGTTTCATTCTGTGCAATGATAAAAACAAGACCCCTTGTGTCCCACAACTAGAAACCAATAAATATGCCAGCATTTCGGCTGTCACATCAGCCTGACTGCATTCACCACACATTCACCATGGCCATCGCATTTTGAACAATAGGATCTTTTGTTAAGTAGTTACATAGATTATAAAGTTTGAACCTGTGACCTCTGGAATACTGTACCAGTGCTTTACCAACTGAGCTATCTAGCTCAGCATTGGTGGCTCTTCCCATTTGTCAATATCTCTGTAAGGGGGGGGCACTCATGCATTACATTGATGTGTAAAGAAGGAAAACCTGTGATAAGGGGCTGGTTGCTCAGGCCTAGAAAAATCACAGAGAACACAGTTGACCCATGATTCAACCTTTCTGCAATGGTGCCTTAGCCAGTTGATCCTGGAGGGGCAGCTGTTGGATTACCCCGTTCCCTTATTCTCTAGCAAAGGTGCTTACACTTACCCTGTAAACATGATTCACAGAAACAAATACACTGCCAGATTTGCATAGTGATGCTTGATGCTATGACCTGGATGACTTTATTATAGACACTCTCTCTCTCTCTCTCTCTATATATATATATATACATGTATATATTAATGGATACATGTTTGCGCGCAAATTAACCACTTGGCACCCAATGATGTGTTAATACACAATTTTCCTTATTTGTTCCACAGAGGACGTGCCCTTGTGCTCAACCAAAGAAATCAAACATTTTCATCCCCATTTTATTTTTGACATAAACACATCTGGGAAATCTTTTGAGAACCTGGTCTAGCAAATGTCACTCCATGGCAGGGGCTCAAGAGGGTTGTCACATATTTGGTTGTTATAAGTAATGTACAAATATAGTGCTTGGAATCAGAATTTGTCAGATGTCAGTTGGCTGAAATATCTTTATGTAGTATTCTTGGAAAGCATTAAAGGTCAAGGGTCACGCATTCCTCGTGATTGCAGTACAGCCACCAAAACAGCGTGTATGTCTCACTCTCTCATTCTAAGCTAAACGCCTTATGATATCACAATTGGCGACGAGTCTGGGATTTTTCCGTGTTGTGAGTCAGTGAGTGAGTAACGTCAAAACGTTTCGTCTCCGTACATGTGTCTACGTAACACTTATTAACCAGTAGTGATATACCTCGCCGCCATACAGTAACTGTGATGGTCAACATGTCCGCAACTAATTTACCCTCATTCCCAGCCTTCCAGCCTCATCATGAACCATCCACTATCGGCGTACGGTGGAGGAAATACATAGCCAGGCTGGAGAATTTGTTTTTTGCATTGAAAGTCACTGATGACCAACAAAAGCGGGCATTCCTTCTACATTACTTTGGCCCTGAAGTAATGGACATTTTCGAGACTCTATCGGACACTGGTTTTACATATGAATCAGGGCAAAGTGCTCTTGCAAAGTACTTCGAACCGAGCAAGAACATCGAGTACAAACGCTTTGTTTTTCATGAGGCAAAACAACAACACAGCGAAACTGTCACAGATTTTGCAACCTGCCTGCAATAACTTGCCCAAACTTGTGAATTCCATGACAAGGACAGTGAGGTGAAATCACAAATCATCCATGGTTGTACCTCATCAAAGCTGAGACGCTATGCACTTCGAGAAACAGAGCTCAGCCTCTCAAAGTTGCTCACCACAGCCCGAGCCTACGAACTGGCTGACAGCCAATCCAAAGACATGGAACAGCATTCCCAGCACTCGAGCAGAGACGCAGCCAGCCGTATGACTGCAAAGCCTCATAGGAAGGAATGTGAACCGAGCAAATCCTCACGGTCATCCAAGCCCAGACGCCCTCTACCCTGACGCAACTGTGGAGGTACCTTTCCTCACAAACAACAATGCCCAGCAAAAGGGGTGACATGCCACTCATGTGGTAAACTCAATCATTTTGCCAAACATTGTTTGAGTCGTGGCAAATCAGCCAAACCTCAGAGCATAGCAACGGTGCATGCAGTTGATCATACTGTCAGTGCTACAAGCTCATCTGACGATGAGTATGTGTTCGGAGTATCGTCATCGCCACACGTCAAACATCCAGTTATCACGGTAACAGTCGACGCAACTCCCTTGTCAGCCATCATTGATACAGGTGCGTCAGTTAATGTCATGTGTCTGGCTGTATACAACAAACTCTCCTCCAAACCGCCACTGTGTAAGGACAATGCAGCAAAAGTCTTTGCCTATGGTAGTTCAACACCCCTGGAGATTGTTGGCACATTTTACACTTCTATTGCTTATAAGGGGTCCCAAGTGAACTGCATCTTCTGTGTCACCAAAACCATTGGAGACACATTGATCAGTTTCCAAACAGCGTCTGCTCTCTGCGTCATCCATGTGGCCTACAACCTTCACCCCGACAACCCCATAAGCCCGTGGACAGTCTTGTGGAACAATTCGCAGATCGTTTTACTGGTATCGGCAAGTTAAAGAACATTCAGTGCAAGCTGCACGTGGACGAGACTGTCAGACCGATTGCCCTGCCACACCATCGTATCCCGCTCCATATCCGCAAGAAAGTGGAGAACGAACTTGACAAGTTACTCCGCCTTGACATCATTGAGCCAGTACGCAATGAGCCAACTCCGTGGGTGTCACTCATACATGTGGTCGAAAAACCTCATCGACCAGGTGAGATTCGTATGTGCGTGGACATGCAAAACGTCAATACTGCTATTAAACGCGAACGGCACATAACACCCACCATCGACGATATCCTCGGTCAAGTCAATGGCGCTACCATGTTCAGCAAAATGGACCTCATTGCAGGCTACCACCAAGTTGAGCTGGCCCCAGAATTGCGCCATCTGACTTTGTTTTCAATGCACAAAGGCTTGTTCTGTTACAAGCGTTTGAATTTTGGCGTAAGCTTAGCAGCGGAAGTCTTCCAAAACATGATCTCCTCGGCTCTCCGTGGCCTGGAGGGTACACTAAACATCAGAGATGATATCCTCGTGTTTGGTCGCATGCAAGCCGAACATGACACACGACTCGCAGCCTGTCTGCAACGTCTTCGCGAATGCAACCTAACTCTGAACAGAGATAAATGCAGTTTCGGTCAGTCACGTGTTGAATACTTTGGCCATGTATTCAGTTCCAGTGGCATCTCTCCCGACAAGAAGACAGTGGAAGCCATCCAACAAGTTCCTGACCCCACCAACGCCAGCGAGGTCAGGAGTTTCCTTGGCTTGGTAACGTACTGTAGCCGGTTTATACCAGACCTTGCCACTATTTCTGCCCCACTGCGCGAGTTGACCAAGAAAGACTTTACCTGGAACTGGGGACCGGAAAACCACCAAGCACTCTCGCAGATTTGTGAACGAGTTGTGCACTGTTGTACCGTGGCATACTTCGACCTTGGCAAGAAGACTGAACTGCTCGTTGATGCCAGCCCGTTCGGCCTAGCCGGTATTCTTGCCCAACGCAACAACAGGGATGAACTGTCAATTGTTGCTCTTGCCAGTCGATCTCTGACACCTGGTGAACAGCGGTATTTCCACACAGAATGCAAAGCTTTCGCTATCATGTGGGCATTACTTCACTTCCACCTCTACGTGTACGGTAGCACCTTAACCATTATCACAGATCACAACCCGTTGGTCCCACTGTTCAGCGCAGCCAAGCTCCGACACGTATCAAGCGCTGGTTAATGAAGTTGCAGGAGTACAACTTCATCGTTGAGTATCAGCAAGGAAAGCTGAATCCCGCAGACTATACGTCACGGCACCCCTATGGACATCCAAGAGCCACCAGCCACGAAAAATCCCTCGCAGAGGAACATGTGCACTTTGTTTCCGTGAACGCCGTGCCCAGCCAGTCAGTCACCCTTGACAAAATCCGCGTTGCCACTTGCAACGACCCAGTTCTCCAGTCAACCATCGACGCGGTCACCACCTGTAGCTGGGACACACTCTTGAGACAACCCCATAATCAAGAGACTCTCGCAACCCTCAAGAGTCTACACAAAGTGCTCGAAGAACTAAAGGCAACACCTGATCGCGACCTGCTGCTGCGTGGAAATCGTATCGGAATTCCATAAGCACTCGCACAATCGATTATCGACATTGCTCACGAAGGACACCAAGGCATGACAAAGACTAAACAGCTACTTCGTGAGAAAGTGTGGTTTCCCAACATGGACACACTCGTAGACAACACGGTTCGCGACTGCCTTTCATGTCAGTTGACAACCCGAATGACACCACTGACACCACTCACTATGTCTACACTCCCAGACGGCCCATGGCTCGAAGTCAGCAT